TACAAGCCATCCACTTGATGCCAATCCAATCTAAGTGACAAATCCTCTAAGGGCTAGGATACGAATGGCTCACTGCCCTTTGCAGCATCATCAGGAGCAGGCCCCCATCCCAGCTGGACGTACGTCTCCACAAATTAAGCGGGAAACCCAGATTCTGGCGGGAAGCACATTTAATGCTGAAGATGTGGTGGTTGGGACACCAGCCACACACAGGCCTCCACGTCAGCATACCCAACTACCCATTGGTGGTATAAATAGCAACATTTATTTCATTGTAAAGGGTTGGCAACTTATCTGCCTTAGCGTTCTAGCTTATATTTCTCTTACTCGCAGCTTTTCTACTGCCTGGTAAGACGTACGGCTGACGAGCCTTTAATTAGCAAGCGTATTGTATTAGGGAGTTATTAACTGATTAATAAATACATAATCTCTTACTTGCTATTTACTGTCTTTAATCCATCTCACTTGTTGTTGGGCTAGTCTAGTTACTCATACACGCATACTCCACTCGAAATATTTGGGCTTACGTGTTGGACCCAAAGGTTGAAGAAATAAACCTCAACACAATGGTATTAATGAGATGATTTATTGTGATTAAAAGTTTTTTTAGTGATGGTATACTTACCCTCATTATATACTTATTAGTGACAGGATCCATTCCCTCTCATTATATCTTTTAACTACGGAAGCTATAGTGAGAGGCCATAACAGATATTTCCTGTCACTAAAAGCCTTTTATGGCAGGATATGAACTTTTAACCACAGTAATTCCCGTCGTTATAGACAAACTTTCTTGTAGTGATAATTTGTGTCTGATATAGACTCAGAAAGTTAGGACGATCCCATCCGTTAAAAAATCAACATAATAGGAAGAATACCCCATAAACTTAGAGCCCGTTTGGAGAACTCTGTTTTCGGCTTATCAGGCTTATAAGCCAGCTTTTTCACCAAACACGTAACTTTTACTTTCGCGCGCTGAATTGTGTAATAAGCCGAAAAAGTAAGGTTGAAGTTACTTTTCTGGCTGTTGATGGATTATATGGACTCCGACCCCCCGGTATGCCGACTACTAGGCCTGGACAGCGGCCCACACACGTTTAGCGGATATCATTAATATTATTGTACATTATTATTATTATTCAGATGTTCTAGATTAGCTTTTTATAGTATCAGTCCATTTATGTAACCGGGTCTATCAGGCCCATATTAGAGGCCCAGACCCGGATTTTCCCTATATATACTCCTTATAGGAGGCTTGTAACTCATATAACCAATACTCATTCTATACACATTTTCTTCTTCTTCTCTATTGCTCCTTTTGATTCTTGTTCAATTTCTCCTGTTCATACAATATGGGTATCAATTATCCAACAATGGTGCTCTCGTTGAGAGGTTGAACACAATCAAGTGAGAAAACCTCCCCAAAATACCAAAAATTTCATACAAAAATTTCAGCCAAAAAAATTCGTTTTGGAAGAAAAAAAAGATGCTGGAAGCACCCAGATGCAGAGAGAGTCGGAAGAAGCAGCCATGGCCCAACCAGCCCGATGGCGACGCTACACCAATCTGGAGGTGGAGTGCGAGCTCCGACCTGCCTCGAGCTTCACCACCCCAGCCGCGACCTTTTCATCAAGCCGGATCACTGGCGGTCATCCTAGCAGTGGACTCATCCACCAAGAGCCTAGCAAGCTTCCGCCATTAATGGCCGTCCAGAGCTTGGCCCACAACTCGAGCAGCTGCAACATCGGAAGGTTCAACCGGTGGACACTCCTCCCGACCGGTTGCGTTTTGGACCCTAACCTCTGTCAACGCAACCGGATTTTTCCGGCTGAGAGTCCTTAATTTCCGCCATTAGTGGTCAGTCGACCGCCCACCGGAGACAAGTTTTTCCGGCCACCCTTGCTCCGCTACAGCAAACATCCCCACTGTCACTAAGCGGCACGAACTGTTGCTATGGGTTGGCGATGTGTTCTTTAAGATGGATGTGTTCTTCCAGAAAGCATCTTACCGTCATCCCCTTCTTCCGATGTGTTCTTCCAGAAGCCTCTCCACAAGATTCTCCTCATTTGGTTCTAAGCAGACCACGTCCTCTAGATGAATTGAGGCCAAGCAAATGATGGCCAATTTCCTTGGAGAAGAATTGACCAAGTCAAAATTGGCAAGGGGAGACCACACCTGATTCTATATTTCCCGTGGCAAAAGCTTTATCTCCAAAAAGACTAAGTAGCTAAATACTCCTCTTAATCATCTTCGGTCAGGCCCCATTCCAACTGAACCAACCACACCAATTATCGCAAGAGGAAGCTGCCAGCTTTCAGATGTGATGGCCGACAGAAGCCACATGATGGATGGCCAGTTTGACCAAGTCAAAATTGAAGAGAGGAGTCCAATCTAATTCCAGGACACTCTTAGAACGGTGGGAGCCGCTATTTCACAAGGCTGAGCTTGTCCAACCCATATGGATCATCTTCTCTAACATAATTAATATCTGAAAGATAAGTACCCTTTAATTTTCATATTATTTATATTTATTTAAATCAATTTTTTGTCAAGTGTATGTCACACTATCACGCACTTATGATCAAAATGCCTAGTAGAGTGTGACTTGAGACCCATCACTAGGATTTAAAGCCCTGACTCCTCAGGCACAAAGCCCTGTCTCCTCAGGCACAAAGTCCCGACCAAGTCGGGCATGAAGACAAAACCCCGACCAAGTCGGGTACGAAGACCGGTCTTAGTCATTCTTCGAGTGGCGACCGTTGCTTACAAATGGCTCACACATCCATTCTACTAAGTATTTTATCATTGCATTAACAATTCACATCTCCACTTGTTTCAAGTGACGAACTCCCGATCGGGAACATAAATCCCAAGAAATTTTTTTATATGTATGATAAATGTGTAGGTACGAAGATGACTTTACTCATTTTCACCTCGTCTCCACTCGCCTCAAAGAGTGGGGACTGGGGGACTGAGGGGTCAGAGTTTTTAGATGAGCAGAAAATCTCACGCAAGAGCAGGAACGAGAGCTGAGTCAGTTGAAGAGGAGCTGAGCTAGATTGATCATGCCGGAGGGGATTTACCTTCCTTGTTTCATGTTGGGGGCGCTAGGTGTACTCTTTTTCCCTTTATTAGGATTTTTTCCCACTGGGTTTTTCCTAGTAAAGGTTTTTAACGAGGCACCTCCCCATAATGGACAAGGGTGGTGGTCCCCCGTCCGAAGAGGAAGAACGTTGCAGATACAGTTTGGACTACTCCCTTTCGCCTCGAGTACTCTCGACTCAGGGAGTGGGGGACTCCTGATGGATTATATGGACTCCGACCCCCCGGTATGCCGACTACTAGGCCTGGACAGCGGCCCACACACGTTTAGCGGATATCATTAATATTATTGTACATTATTATTATTATTCAGATGTTCTAGATTAGCTTTTTATAGTATCAGTCCATTTATGTAACCGGGTCTATCAGGCCCATATTAGAGGCCCAGACCCGGATTTTCCCTATATATACTCCTTATAGGAGGTTTGTAACTCATATAACCAATACTCATTCTATACACATTTTCTTCTTCTTCTCTATTACTCCTTTTGATTCTTGTTCAATTTCTCCTGTTCATACAATATGGGTATCAATTATCCAACAGCTGTATTGGCTGAAGTTACTGTAGAGGACCATTTTAGCTATTTTTACATATAATTTTTTCTTTAATTTATTAATAAAATATATTTTTAAAATATTTTTTTCTTAAATCAGAAGAATCAGCCAAAACAGCCACTCCAGCCAGAATATCATAAATTTCAGCAGAATCAGCCAAAACAGCCGATTTTGGTGCTACCAAACGGGCTCTTAATATTTTTCTTGATTAGTCACAATAGATAATCTGGCCACTTATTTAGAAGAAAACGTAGGATCCGAGTGAAAATGTGAAAGTGAAACATATATGCACCCCCGTTTATATATATATTAAAGCTAAAATAACATTGGATCGTAGGTGCGTAAAATACTTTTTTAGTTCACTAATTATCAGTGTGGGAAATATTTCAATACCCCGCTTCCTGTTCACACACTATCTAGACCATATCATACATTTTTGCGTCAATCAGTTCATCATAATTATCGTCATTTTTCATGATCGTCATCATTTTCAGAGGGGTACGTCACCATCATGGTTAATTGGTTATGAATTAGTTTGTCTCGTATAGACAAGGGAGTTAGGGTCCCATCTTCTAAAAAATATGTTGAGTATGTGGTTTTGTTGATGATTAACCATGCAGGTGGAACAAGGGACAGAACCGCTCCCAGTTCCTTAAGGAACCAAGGACAAGACTATCCTCAGGTCCAAATGGACATTATTATTGTGTTGTTGACTAACCATGCAGGTGGAACTAATACTGAACCATATCTAGTTCCGTGATATGGTTTGAATTAATATTGATTACACCTACTTGATTACACCAAATAATATATACGTAATTTGCATTTGAGTGGTCATTTGGGTGATTATTATCTTTCCATACTTAAATATTGTTTAAATACTTTATGGAAAGTATCTTTACTTAATGTGAGTGTATGGTGCATATTTTATTGATAATATACGTAAAATACTAAGTACTCACTTTAAGTTTGAAAAAGTAATCCTTAGTGGAAATATTAATTAAATATCCTTAGGATCTTAATTAATGAGTGCATCCACTTAGAAAGGAAATTTCTTTTAAAAAATAAAAGGGTCCATATTAATGCCGTTGCATGATTACTTTTATATGTTAATACCTTTTTGATATTTGACCAAAGCTTTTGGAAAATATAAAAAGGTTTTCTTACCTAATATGCCAAACAAAATAATATCGGATTGATTGACTAAGCTTGTGTTTTGTTTGAGCAAGGCCTTAATACTTCTTGCCATAATTTGTCATTTGTGATTAATTGCTCTAATATATAATTCGAATAAATTGATAGCTCTTTAAAAGGTAACCCATCACCTTCTTGCTTTGAAAAGGTGCAAATATATTATTTCCGTATAAGGTGTTGCTTGAATATATTCCAGATATGCACCTTTGTATTACAAAATATTCTTGAGATCTTTTACTTTGACCAACGTATAAGTAATGCCATGCAAGGAAGGTATTTCAAATTTATCATAGCAAGTCCAAGCATTCAAGAAAGCCAACGAACGATGCTATATAATGGACTGAAGAGTATGCTAACATGTGAAGTGCTGAACCGAGAAAAATACTTAGAAGAATCATTCAAGAAAAGGATCAAGTCCTTGGCGCCTGAAACTGCCCGCTCGGAGTTCTAGATAGAGTTTCTCTTTTCCCTTTCATATTGTACTTGGATTATTGAGGCTTAATTGGCTAGAGTAGCTGCCTCGGGTTAAGTGTGTGTGAGAGCTTTGTGACAAAGCTGAGAGGCTCTCTACCCGCAAGGTAGAGATGCATAACTCTTCCTAGAGAGGATAGAGTTGGGGAGGCTCAAGGGTAGATTAGGAGAATCACTCTTGTAACTCTTTCGAAGGCTTGTTTAGTGAAGTTGTTTAAAATTCCTTCGAGGGAGGTCGAGGTTTTTTAATCCCTTTGAGCCAAGGGATTTTTCCTCGTTAAATTCTTGTGCACTTTACTGTTTTGCAATTCCCTTTATCCCACACTAGAACTCGGCGAAAAACTGACACGGTTCCACACACACACAATTCACCCCCCTCTTGTGTTGCTAACCGTTTTCATCAAAATAGTACTTTATTAATTAGTCACAATAGATAACCACTTTTATTTAGAAGAAAAATATATGATCGGAGTGAAAGTGTGAAAGTGAAACATATATACCATACGCACCCCCATTTAGATATGTAGTATAAATGAAAGCTAAAATAACATTGGATGGTAGATGCGTACGTAAACTTTATTCTGAAATTACACTACTGGCATGCAGAAAGCAACGTACAACTTGGCTTCATTTATTCAGACTCGATACATAACACAACTGATAGGGAGATTATCAATTAAGACAATAATCTCTTTATTCTAAGTTTATTCAGAAGAGAAAGACGACAATGACGACATGCAAGCCAGCAACATAATCGTGAAAAGTAATTTAAACTTCTGATCTATCCAAGAAAACAACGAATATTATGTATTCATTATTTTCTTGAATGGATCTGGTGGGTGAGAATGAGATGGTGTTTAATTGCCCTTGAAGCGAAAAGCTTCAGAGCCGCCCAAGAATCAGTGGAATCAGCCAATGCTTCCTCAGGGTTGTCAACCTTCACAGACACACTAATGGCAGATATATAGTCATTCTCTGTCAGAGCAGTGCTTGCAACAGCCCTAGCTATTTGCACAAGAGAAAATTATCACGCGTATAACTAAAACTTGATGTGCTTCCCATCGTATGACTACTTCAGTTTTATTCTAAATCTATGACCGCAGATGCCTTTATCCCATGCACGTGTGTTTTGAATTTTAAGCTAATACCATTACTATCCTTGTATGCAATTAATGAAATATATTTTCCTTCCTAAAATTGTGGCGATCTCCTTATCACGATCGGCTTTGTAACTGTCGTGCGTATAACCGGCTCTTTAGTAAATGGAATATCCTAAAAATAAGGAAGTAATTAATAGAAGGTAAGTATTTTCATTAATTTTTCTCCCTTAACAGTACGCTACATACTACAAACAATACTGCCCTCATACACATTTACTACCCTCTTAAAAAATTACTAATATTTTTATATTTACTGTGTATTTCATTTATGGATCATATATAGAATGCAAATATTTACTAACAAATAAAATAATTCATTATTTTATTGTTCGTCTTATTTACTGTCTTATGTTAATGCCCATTTCTTTTTGTCCTCTATTTAGTCCCTATGCTGACCCGTCAACATTTATTACTAAACAATTCATTATTTTTACTGCCTATGTTTTTTTAAAAGGATTTTACTGCCTATGTTATTCACTGCCTTATGTTAATGCGCATTTCTTTATAGTCTCCTATTTAGTGCCTATGCTCACACGTCAACATTTATTACTAAATATTTCATTATTTTACTACCTATGTCTTTTTGAAAGGTTTTTACTGCCTATGTTATTCACTGCCTTATGTTAATGCCCATTTCTTTATTGTCCTCTATTTAGTACCTATGCTCACACGTCAACATTTATTACTAAATATTTCATTATTTTACTGCCTATGTTTTTTTGAAAGGTTTTTACTGCCTATGTTATTCACTGCCTTATGTTAATGCCCATTTTTTATTACCTAAACTATCGGCCATTGCTTTTCAAATAATTACTTTCTTTTGCCGCATATCCTTATTTACGATGAAGAGAAATTAAAGCATACATTAGGCTGCATTAATTATTATTGTTCCTAAAAATAAGGAATTAGTTCGTATATGCATAAGGTCATTATGGGTTATTTATTTTCATCATTCCAGCCGGCCATGTATGTGATGTTCCATTTGGTCATACATAAGATTAAAAACATATATGGTCATATTCTTAGAAAACTCATGAGTTTTAGTTATATTAGAGTATTTTTCCCTTTGCACAATTGATTTAAAGGAACTCCCTTCTTTCACTACTTTCTGCACTAACCTGATCCATGCATACACATATAGATAGTATATTATATTATATATACTCAAGTAAGCATATATAACCTGATCCATGCATGCATATACTTTATATATAACCACCATTGCGTTCAACTTTAGGAACCAGAAATGCATCAAAGTTAGGTCGAACCATTTTAAAAGAATACTAGTTTGAATAAACTTGATACATTTAGTGTAGTACTCCGTCCATGTCTTTTCATTTAGTCAAATTCGACTTTTGAAATGAATTATGTTAAACTTTGACTAATTATATTTTTATATACGATAATAGTAATAATAAGAAAATGATATGCAAATGTTCTTTGTTAAGAATACTATCATAAAATTATGCGGAGTAACTTTATTAAATTTCTTGTAAATATACAAGTATTACTTAAAATAATACTACCTCCGTCCCTTTTATATTGGGACAGAAGAGGGTGACATGATTATTAAGAAAAGTGGGTGTGTGATTGATATTAATTGATAAAGTAATTAAGAATAAAGTAAGATTGATTTAGAGTCACACAAATTTTACCAAATATGGTATATATGAGACACTTTTAGTGGGATTTCCCGAAAAGGTAAAACAGGACAATAAATGGGGGATGGAGGAAGTAGATAAGGGAAGGGGGGTAATATTATTTTTAAATTTAGGACTAACAAACATTACTCAATATATAGGGAAAATAAATTGAAGGGAAAATAATGGAGAGGACTGTTCCTCAATTCAAAGGAGCAGTCGCAAAATCAGTTGGCTACTCTGTAGTTTCCCTTAACCAAGTATCAATTCGAGAAAAACATTTTTAATCCGACCCTAATTCCTTAATAAAGTCTTAGAGTAGTACTTTCGGTATATGTAGTGTCCTCGGATCTATTTTGCAATTATATCAGAACGGAGAATAGTATATTATATATGGAGTATATCTCACGTACCCACTTAATTCTGTCAAGGGAAATTCTGGTATATCTACACGCGGATAGATCCAAGTATTGACATCCACCGAAATCTCCGACTTTGACCACGTGTATTTCAATCCCTTAATTGTGGTTTTGTCTCCCCATAAACTACACATGAAAACAAATTTATGTCATAAATTACAAGATGACAGTAAATAATATGTGATGTTACTCCTATTCCAAGAACAAAAATATAGCAGTCCTATTTTTGAATTTCAAACACTTTTACTTATATTTTGAGAATTTTTCCTATATTTTATTATTTATATATGGACCCAAAAAAATGCCCCTATTAATAAATTTTATTGACCCGCTCCTAGATGTGTTTTTTATAAGCTGTGATTTTTTTCTATTAGTTAAAACTTAAAACTTTGTAGTTTTCTATAGAAATATATGCATATATAATTTGGATAAAGTTAGAATATGATCTATTTTTATTAACCACACACATATGTGCATGCTGCATGTACAACCATGAAACACGATATATGTACACCACTTTTATTAAAAGAGATAGACATATACGGAGTAGTCTCTATCAGCGCAGCTAGTTAGAATGAAAATTATAAACGGCACACCTGGTGGGAAATGGGTTACTCAGAAGCAAGTTGCTGGTGCTCATGGTGGCGGAGTACTGGTGGACTACTCTGATTTCCCTACGAGTGGATTTCGTTGAGGTGTAGATTTTTCTTCTTCCTTTGCCACCCTTTTATAGCTAACAAGCTGCACTACTCTGAGGCCGGGGAGTAGACGGAACTGAATCGGTACAAATAATATTTTTGAAAAGATTTTTACACATAGTTTTTACACTGAAAATAAAAGCATTTTTTTAATTTGGGGTGGGCCGGGGGCCTACACCCCCCTAGCTACACCCCTGCACTACTCCCTATACTTGCTTATTTAAAAAAGGAAATTTTCTTAAATAAGACTTGAATAAACATTAAGTTCATGAATAAGATTATCTATGTTTTATTCTCAAAACATGACTCATTTACTCTTATTTTGGGAACTCTTAATCGAGTTATTCTTGTAATAGAATGAAGAGCCCGTTTGGCAACAATGAAATTGGCCGAATCGATTGATTCTGCTGAAATTTATGAAGTTCTGACTGAAGTGGCTATATTGGCTGATTTTGCTTATTTATGAAAAAATTATATTTAAATATTTTATTAACAAAAAAAAATTGTATGAAAAAATACCTAAAAAGATCCTCTACCTAAATTCAGCCAATACAACCAGAAAAGTAACTAAAACCTTACTTGTTTCGTGAAAAAGTTGGCCGATAAGCCAGATAAGCCGAAAAACATGATCACCAAACGGGCTCGAAATAAATCCTATTTGGGGAATAAAACATATATATTTAGCCCTATTTTTGAACTTTGTATATGTTTTAGTCTTATATTGAGCAATTTCTATAATGTCAACATTATTCTGGGACAGATTAGTTATTTTCATATAAAGAGGATGACACCCCATCCGTGAGGACCCCCATCACCCGTTTGATAGTTAACTGATAGAATATAAATTGGATTTTAATAATATATTACTCCCTCCGTCCCGAAAACAACTTCCCACTTTCCTTAAATGGATGTCCCAAAGTTAACTTTTAAGTATAATAACCTCATACATACTATTGTAATATTAAGAAAACTCATCATGACCCACAAATACCCTTCTTGTTAGACAAAAATCTCAATTCAAAAACCAATTCTTTACCCTGTTGAGATTCATGTGGTTAAACAAGACATAATTTACTTAAAAAGCATTGGTTGATATTTACCTTTAACTTTAACCACTTTACCTTCAAATAATATCATAAAATGTTATACTACGTATATCATATCCTTTCTTATTTTCAAATAATGTTCCTTTAATTTGTCATTTCATAAGCTTTAATGTATCAATATTTTTTTCTGGGGCACTTATTGTTATCAAATCAAAGTTATCTTTTCATTGTCTAAAATTAAAATTAGAATATAATAGATTTAATTGTCATCGTGTATGTAGTATGTACTAATGAAACTTTTTAAATAAAAATTAGCCTCAGAGCCCTACACTAGCGAAAAAATTCGCCCCGCTACACTAGCATTTTTTTTCCCATTCCGCTTACTAGCGAGAATTTTTCACTCTTTACACTAATGCAAAAATTTTGCCCCCTTGACTCGAAATCCTGGATGCGTCCCTGATTGCAAATGGTTGAAGTCAGTCATGGACCCGGGCCGGGCCCGGCCGGGCTTTTTTTGGGAAGGAAGGCCCGGGACCGGCCCGGGTAGCCACCGGGTCCGGTCCGGGCCGGGCCGGGCCTCCGGTTCGGTCATAATTTTTTTTTTTTGCTTTCCTAACCCCCCCACTCACCCCCCCACCCCCAAACCCCTCCTAACCATCAAGCCCAACCCGGCTAACCCCAAAAAATGAAAAAAAAAATAAAAAAAAAAATCAATTCGGCCCGGGCCCGACCCGGCCGGTCCGGTTCGCCAAATACAAGGCCCGAGCCCGGACCCCCCCCCACCGGGCCTAGGCCCGACCCGGACCCGGACTCAAGAACCGGGCCGGTTCCAGGCCCGCACAATAGCGGGCCGGGCCGGTCCCGGGCCGGGCGGCCCGAACCGGGTCCATGCCTAGTTGAAGTGATCTGAAGATGTAATCAAAGCTGGCAAAGCAATTATTGAGCAGTACGATCTAATTGGTAGCCACTAGCCACACACTGGGTAATGGGTATACTCTGAAACTCGGAAAAGTGTTGCATTACAATTAATGAGCAGTTTGGTCTAAATTGAAAGTGGCAGTTGTCAATCGGCTATTTGGGAAACGGTCCCCATTTTTTATTTGGCTATTTGTTACTCCATATGTGAGAAAGCGGCTTTGTTTTTAATGGTTTAAATTAATGGTGACCAGTATAAAAAAAATCATACTCCATTCGTTCTAATATAAAAGGCACATATTCCTTTTTGGGTCGTCCCAATATAAAAGACATATTTCCCTTTTTGGCAAACAAAAAAGTACTCCCTCCGTCCCGCTAAGATTGTCTCATTTTACCTTTTCGGGAAGTCCTACTAAGATTGTCCCGTACCAAATTTGGTAAAGATTGTGTGGCAGTAAACCATTATTACTTTATTCTTACTTTATCAATTTAATATCAACCACACAAACCCATTTTTCTTAATAATCGTGTCACTTTCTCTCGTCCCAATCTTAGTGGGACGGAGGTAGTACAAAACAGTGTCAAACAGTGTCCAAACAATGTCAAACAGTGTCCAAACAGTGTCTAACAGTGTTCAAACAGTGCCAAACAGTGTACCTCCCTAAAATGTTTGAAAACGTAAATGTGCTTTTTATATTGGGACGGAGGGAGTACTATTATTCGGTTTAGTTCGATTTGGTTTTGTTCGTTCAATTTGGATTTGTTATTTTTTACTCATATATGAAAGTTTTATTGAATTTCTTTAGTTCGGTTCAGTTTTCTTCGGTTTCTATCGGGTTCTGTTCGGTTGTATACAGTTTGAAAGAAATACTATCAAACTCAAATCAAACTGCATATGGTCCAGTTTCGGTTCGGACCATTCGGTTTAATTTGATTTGATATGATTTGGTCAGTTAAACCAAATCAATATGTCCACCCCCTAATTTAAAGATACATCTAGCTCAAGTAGAAGAAAAGGGTGTCACAAGAAAGAATCTCGGGTTCAAATCCAAATAATGATTTCGAATAGACTTCAGCGTCTTTCCATCAGAGTGTGATCAAAACTCAACTTACATCCTATCAAATAATTGTCAGGCCCTCAAGGATGGGGAGTCATCCTTTTAGAGGTTTAAAGATATTTATTTATTACTCCGTATACTCTAAAAGTCTAACATATCCATTAATTTTAGGTCATTCATTAGTTATTTATAATTTACGTCCCTCAAAAATTTGTCAATTTTGACATGCACAATAAATAATAAAGTCATAACTGTGTGGTTGAGAATTTTTGCATAAAAGAGAAAAATAATAAAAGAAACAAATTCATTGATTAAAAAGGAAAGTGATAAAGTTTTTGAGAAACCCAAAAAAAGTTAACAAAGTCATAAGGGATGAGTGTAATAATTTTTCAAAAAATTTAGCAAAATGAAATGAACTATATATGACAGTTTAATAATAACTGTAAGAAATATCAATCTGAATATTATTACTATTTTATAATATTATTTTAACCACAATCATAGTTCGTATTTCAAATATTAATACTAAAAATATACTCTCTCCATCCCTTAAAACTTTGCCAAATTTGACGTGGATTCATAAAGTAAATATTGTGTAGTTGAGGTTTGTGTAGAGGAGAGAGGATTTACTAGAACCACAAATTCTTTACTTAAAAAGGAAATTGACAAAGTTAGTGAGACATCCAAAAAAGGAAAGTTGACAGGGTTTTAAGGGACGGATGGACTATATAAGTGAGAGACCAGATCAAATATTTTGGTTTGTATATTGGTTGTCACAATATTGGTAATATTAAGGGCAGACAGACCAATGTTTTTAACTAAATCAGAGAAAACCGAACTGGCAGCAGGCCTGGGAGCAATTGGATCAGGAGAAAACAGGGGTGCAATACCTGGTGCTCTGGCAAACGTCGGTCCGACAAAATTAGAAGTAGAAGCCATGGATGGAGAGAAGCTTTGTCCGCTGGAGAACTGTAAGGAATAAATGTTTTCAGATTTTGATGATGCTAGATTAATTAGGACATTAGAGTTCCCCCTCTAGAATTGATGTATTAGAATTTTTCTAAGTGTAAGCATTCTAGAAGTAGTCGACTGGCAGAAGACCTTCAGGCCCTCTGATGAACTCGAATTCTACAGAAGTGCTCCGGGCCCTCTGTTGGACGTCTACTTGACAAAAGTGCTCATGATCCTTTGTTGTGTCTCTATTAAACAGAAGAGCTAAAGGCTATCTGCAGCTGCTCCTCTATGCAAAACAACATAAGACCAAACACTTTGAGATTTTGCAAGATACCTCGCTGATGTACCCAACAGAAGATTCCCTCAACGGCTAGGAGTCACTTAACGGAAATGCTACAGGACAACATTTAATTCTCATTTAATGAGCTCTACTCTCCGAAAAGTTAAAGCTGATGATTGACCGAGATTTCTGGATAGGCCGAAAGCCTATACCAAAATAGCAAGCCGCCAAACTTGCGGGCCCAACCGGTCAACTCAACAGTACGTGCATTAAATGCAGTTGTCTCCTCCTCCAACGGGAAGACAACTCTAGTATATAAGATACATGATGAAGAACAATCAAACAACTTTTGCTCACTCCACAACATTCAAATCTATCTTGAGATTCAACCTCCACCTTCATCAACAAGAAAAGCTTACGTTGGAAAGATTATAATCTCTCATAATCTTCATACTCCAACAAGAGCGAAGTTCCTACTGTTCTTCAACAACTTCAAGCATCTCACTTATAAATCTTTTGTGACGAAGCAAGTTGGAGAAAAACTCTATTTTTCTACAGAACATCTTCTGCAAAGAAGGGCGTCTTAAAGTAGCTGGAGTAGTGAAGTGGTGATACTTCAAGGAGACTCAGTGAAACAAGACCAGTCTTAAAGGAAGCAAGGAAGTGCATCCCATGAGACATCTACACTTTAAGAAGACGTGGAGAGCTTCTTAAGTGATAGGACTAAGGCTTTGTAACTGTTTACTTCAAAGCTTAGTGGAATAGTGGATTAGA